TCAAAATTCTTTTTTTGAAAAAAGATAACATCCATGATTGTACAAATGAATCATATAAACCATACACTGATTTGGCATATTAGTGGATTTATTTTTTTAAATATTTTTTTATGTAACTTTTTTTTTCTGTAAAGCACATATGGAGTTACTATTATGACCCAGAAATTCCACTCCTGTACTCAAGAGAAATGAAAGTGTATGTCCACACAAAAACTTATACTCAAATGTTCATGGTAGCATTATTCATACTTGCCAAAAAATGGAAATAACCCACATGTTGGAAAAATTCCACATGTCCATTCATCAATTGGAAATAACCAAATAACCCACAAATAAAATGTGGAATATCCATACAATGGAATTTTGTTCAGCCATAAAAGGGAATGAAGTACTGATTAGAGCTACAAAATAAATGCAACTTGTAAACATTTTGCTGAATGAAAGGAGCCCATAACAAAAGACCACATACTGTATGATTCCATTTCTGTGAAATGGCCAAAATAAACAAATCTATGGAGACAGAAAGTAGGTTAGCGAAGGCCTAGGGCCTGGCAGAGAAATGAAGAGTGACTGCTAATGGGTATCAGGTTTCTTTGTGGAATGACACTTTATAGTCTGTGTCTGATAATCTGATATCTAGACTCCCTGTGGATATGTTTCTATTGAATGTTGTTTTGCTGAAAGGGTCTTTTCTCCTCTTGCATCTGTCTTTCTTTAGTTGTGTGAGGGATTTTGTATATAAAATTTTATTTTTAGAAATAATTTGAAGCCTAGGTGGATGTTATCTTTCTTCAAAAAAAAATTTTGATTGCTTTTTCCAAATTACCTAGGAGTGCCAGCAACCAGGTGTCATCTTAATCCACTTCCAGGCTAGAGATTTTTCTGGGCTACCTAAATAATTTAAAGTTGAGCTGCAGACAGTGCAAGGGCTGGTTTACTTCCAACTCTCCTTAATTTCTAGTGTGCAACCGGCGTCATGCACAGCCACATTGGAGCCTAACGAAAAAGAAACATCAATACTACTGATCCTGTCTTTATTTTAAAATTTGGTATTTCGTTCATCATGATTGTTTTCATGAATTTTATTAATTAATTTTAATTAGTAATACTGCAGTAAAGTATTATTTATCTGGATTACTGAGGTTTTTAGTCTCCCCGAATTTTGTGCCCAAGATGAGCACTTCGCTTACTTCACTGTACCCTCAGCCTTGGTATTTTTACATCTGCTTTGGATTTTTACATCCTGAGAGTTTGAAGAGACAAAGTTGTGGGTCTCCTCTAAAACTTCTTATAAAATCTCATAGAGATTTTGGGGGCACTCTCAATTTCCTCCTTTATCATCTACTTAGAATTAAGCACCTAAAGATTTCCATACAATTAGGGCTGAAGTGGATTAAACATAAACATTTATCTTCACTTTCCCCTGAAATTGCCATAAAATAATAGTAGCAAAAAAACGAGGTAAAAACTCGCAAGGATTAAGCGAAGGGAAAAGAGAAAACAGTAAATGAGAAGTGTCTACAACTTTTTGGAAGACGAGACAGCTGATGGAGGAGTGATAGCTGATCTAGATAGCAAGGTAGAGGAAGCAGAGACCTACTATCTACAGAGACAAATAATGAGAAGTGAGCCAGTCCACCCCACAGAATTCCACAGAAAACGTGTTGTTCTCATTATCAGTTGTCAGGGAGAGGAACAGCAATTTGCATTCACATGTTATGGATTATAATACATTATTATTGCATCACGTCAAAGATATTTGAACTGAACTCATCCACATATTGTTATTGTTTGGTCAGGTGGAACCTAGATCTAGTACAACTGGACAATGTTCTAATATACTATATTGATATTATGGTTACCTCAGAAACTGAGGATTAAACTAAAAGTGACCTTACTAAGATCATAAATCATATGACTGATTGGGGATGATTGATTAACTCCCCCAAAATACAAGGCCTTGCACAAACTGTAAGACTTGCGGGGATTGCATGAGCTGAAGAGATGACAAAACAGAGTGTGGGTTTGGCTGCCCTGGGCCCTTTGCTGAGGCAGCCTTTGGCTTTGATGCATATTCTTACTTTAACATTGTTGCTATATTGTGTCTTTTCCTGCAATAAACTGTAGATTTAGAAGAATTGTCATTTGGGGTCTATGAGTCAGCAATCAAACCTTGCTTAACTGTTACTGTTAGTGCACTAAGTGATGGGAATCTGAGTACATTTTATATTATTCTAATTTCTCAAAAGAACCTATGCATCCAAATAGTTGACCCAAAAAATCTGAGGTAGTGTCTTATTATAGTCTCCTGGAACTACTGGGGGGTATTTTTATGTAGTTACAAGTTAACACACTATAGTGGTCAGATCCATGAGCTTTATTTTTAAAGGCTATTCCTGAAAGGAATACTTTGCTTTTTACTAGGAACTACACTTGTCCTACAGTGTCAATATTAGATATTTTTATTTAAAATTAAGTTCATTTTTATGACAGTGGTTCATCTTAATATGTATGGCTGTTTCCTCTAGACAGGGAATTACAAAGAGGCTTGGTGTTCCCTAGGAAGAGTGATAATCTGAAGTTATTGATGTTATCTGGACACCTGATATCCATAGCGGCAGATGGTGGGCCTTCTGTCTGCTAGAGATCAGAGAAGCCGCTGGGTTGCAGGAGTGGTAGATGACGGGTAGAAAAGAAAACTGATAGCAGCTGTGTGGTAGAGACTAGGCTGTTTCTATTTTCCTCTATAACCTTGACAAAAGAGCATACCCAAGAGTAGTATCATAGGATCTAAAAATAGAAACTTTATTAAACCATTCAATTGAGCTATCTTTGTTGGAATAATTGTCTTATTTAATAACAATGCAAAAGGGACAGATGAAGAAGAAGGAAGAGTCCAGGATGACTTGGCCAACAGAGTCAATTATGATATTGTGTGGAGCCTATAACGCCTTTGTATATCCAGATAATGTCCACAGACAGTTGGGAACAGGACCTGAAGCTTGGGATAAGATCAAGACTAGAAGATCTAGGCATAGGTCTCCGCTCCCACATGACCCTGGTAGTTAGTAGTGGATATGTGGGAGAGGAGGACCGATGCACAGACGAAACTGCCCAGGAGGATCCAGATGAGGAGAAAAGGCCCAAGTATAGTACCCCATGGACATCTACCTCTTAAGGGTGGGAAGAAGACAATCCAGTGAAGGAGCTTGAAAGTCAATACAAAGAGATAGGAGAAAGAGGTATCACAGAAACCAAAAAGAGGAGAGACTTTCAAAGGAATGATTAGTAAAGCCTGAATAGTATCCACTTGAGAGGTCAGGTCAAAGATATTATCAATACTTTGCAGCGATAAGATAGAAATCAGCAGAAGATTGAGGAATAAATAAAAGGTGAAAGAGTGGAAATAGTAGATGTATTCTTTCAGGAAGCTTAGCTCTAAAGAAAATGAAGTTGCCAGAGGAATAGTTTTTGTTTAAACATTATTTTGAGCACGATTATTTGCTAAGGGAAAACATACACGCATAGGTTGCAGTTATAAAAAATATGATAATTGATGTAGCAATTTCCTGAAAGAGGAGAGAGATTAGAATTAAAGGACAGTTGTGAGGATTAGAGCTGGTCAGAAGGTTCACCTCTTTCTGCAGAAGTAAGAGAAGCGTCTCTGTAGAGGGTTGAAAATGAAAGGCAAGTGATGAGATGATGGTCTGACTTTTCTCTTTAGAAGCTTAGCCAGTAAAAGCAAGGAGAGAAAGAACTTTAACCAGAGAAGGCAAATGCTGATATATCTGTACGGGACTGAGCAGAAAAGCTGAGGGAACTGACACCTGACGGCCTCTATTTTCTCTGAAAAATGAAATAGTGTGATCCAGTAAGAGAACATAGTGAAGATTTAGAATAGCCACTGAGGAGAATGTAGAGGGGTGTATAATAGAATCTCCAAGTAGTATGTAGACTTTGAAATATATACTACAAGTGTGCACCAATCCACATGACTGTATAGATTTCTCAAGCAGGATTCAGTCCAAGTGTAGGACTGATAGGTGATTCTGTGGTGTATGAAAAAGGACACCAGGATATAAAGGAGTTAAAAGGCATGGTCAAAACCTATGTATGACTCACGTCAAAGTACATTTCCCCTACCCCCTTGAGATTTTTCACGAATCAAAACATTTAGCATCTTGAAAAAAGACTTTTTTCCCCCACGGGGACCTAGGGTGATTCCCATATATTCAGAAGACATTCAGATATTTTTGAATGAGTAAATTGATAAACAAATTTTGACTCTCCTAAACATTTTTGAATACAAGTATTAGGTTTAAATTTTTATCTACTAGGGATGGATATATTGATTATTTCAGAGCATTAGGTCTGTCCCAGGAGCTAGATCCTACAATTTACCTATGCTCAAAATAATTAGACCGACGCCAACCTTTAATAAAATCCCTTCTGTAACACAAAAGTTTATTAGAATAAAAATACATGTACAATATTCAACATGAAAATGATCTCACATCGCATGTAGGTTTTACCATTAGTTTTTTTAATGCTTTTAAAGTTTGGGCTTAAAATAATTTGCACAGCTGTAAACAAATCTTAGATTGCAAAAGATGCCTTGTATACACTACATATGAAACATCAAAATTTAGAAATGGAAACTGACAGTTATATCCTATTGCACTAAATAGTTCTGTAAAATTTTAGAGAGGAGAAAGAGATTAAAATAAATCACTTGAAATGAGGTAAATTGTATGAAGACATTTTTAGCAGTAAATATCACCAGTGTTGAGATGAGAATATTAAAAACATTCATGGAAAATTCACTTAAATGTTTGCATAGTCTATGTTATTTTTTAAAAACAAAAATTAAAAATTAACAGTATTTCTTATTAGAAAAAGAGATAATTATCTGATTTACTTAATATTTGTGTACATTCTAAGTCTTTCATTCAGAAAAAAGAAATGATACAAACATTCACAAGTCTAGCAAAAAGTTAAAAAAAAAAAATTGAAGATTAGGACCAATAGTTCAAGCTGCCTTTTGGAAAGAAAATTAAAAACAGAGGTAGATAGTTAAATATTAGCTTCCAAGTTACTCAAATGATTAATTTTTGTCTTGGGACACTTTCACCAAATTTTTACGCTTGAAGCCAAACAGCAAATAAATTTAGGAGTAGAGAGTAAGACCTAGCACAAGTTATTTTCCTTATATTGAAGAAAAGGAATAAACATAAACCAGGCTTAAGACCCGTGTTAAGGATATGATTGTTTAAAGCCCTACAGTTGATGCACTTTTTAAAGCAGGAGAATGAACCTTGTCCCTATGAGTCCTAGGTTTATCTGAGGCCAAGCCACAAGCTCCATCAAGCACGGTCAGTCAAAGTAGGACTGCAGGGTGCCTCGGCGCCGGACATCGCAGGTCCAGCAGTGGAAGCCTCCTCCCAGAGAATTGGCATTACGAATGTTAACCTTAATGGTACTGATACCTGCATTGAAAGAGAGATACGTGACCAGTTAGATGGACTCACATGAAGATTCTCCTATAGAAAGTAAGCCTAAAGATGGGTAGGAATATTCCTGTCATTCGAATCCTTCAGTCTACTCTGACCCAGGACAGTCTTTCAATTTTATTTTCATCAATTATATTTCATCTGATCTATTCCACTGCTAATATAAAACCTTCACCAAAAAGTCAGCAGAGACTCTGAAGTCTATTTTGTGCTACTGACTATTCACAAGTGAATAAGTAGGATGAGCAGACATATCTGTCAAATGTTCAGAAATGATCAAGCACTAAAATTTCAAGGCCTTTTAGAATCATGCTTTAACTATTTTGTCAGACTGTTTTTAATTTTACCATGTCAATTTAGAAGGAAAAGTATAATTTAGCCAACTTGAGAAGCTAACTTTACCTACTCACATATAAGCAGAATTTATCTGACATCATTAACTTTTTACCAGGCTGCCTTAAGGAAACAATGGAACAGAGCTTGTACTTTAATATCTGGGTTGTATGGTCAGCTGGGTACCAAAGCTACTCAAGACAATTAATTAGTTTAATCTGGCACCGTTTGTATTGACACAGGTACAATGTTTATGGCACAGTCACCCAACAGTATTTAGGAAAACCCTATTGTTCGGCATAATGTGGTTTTAAAACAATTTATTCTCATCTCTCGAGGAACCCATTATTTGGAGGAGAGAGATAAGCTACAGAGTCACTAAAGATTCCACTGGTATGGTGAGAGAGGAAGGCAGCAGAAGACACCCGGAAAGACTTTCCTGAGAAGTGAGACTAAGCGGGGCTCTGAAGAGTAAGAAAAAGATTTGGACAGAGGTAAGAAGTGGGCTTGGGATAAGGAGTAGGCTTTTAAACACAAGCATATTTTGTGATGGACAGATGTATCTCTTATTCAGATTGCTAGATCTGCATTAATCCTGAATTGGAGAGAATTCAGTTGCTTGAAAAAATTTGCTTTAAGTTCCCTATGCCTAAAAAGACTTTATTACAAAAAAAAAAAAAAAAAGACAAACCAGATCTTTGGTATTTAATAATATTTTAAGATGAGAAACAATAAAATCTTAATGGACAAAGAAACTGAATAACCTGAGCATTTGAGTAATTTAATGAAAGCCATAAAAAAGTAGTATAGCATTAGGGATTAAATCATTATTTTGGGCTCAATATAGACCTGACAGGCCAATCCTTTTATACTGATACTACATTAAAGAGGGATGTGTCAAAGGGTCAAATAATTTTTCCTGGGTTGTAACACTGGAAATATAAGACAAAATATGACTCAATTACAAGTGTACAACCTAGCTTTATTTGACACTTAGGATACATGTTAAAAGTGATCATCATACATACTTCTGTACTTTATATAAGAACCATATGAAAATCCTTCCTTTCAATACTATTCTCAGCAGTATTAGAATAACTAGTCTAAATTTTGAATATTAGGATAAGCAAACTCCCACCTAAGTAAAAACCAGTTCTGATTTTTAGTTCAAAGTCGAATGATTTACTGACACCCTCTATTGCATTCCATTACTTTGTTCACTGTACTTATCACACATATAAAGTCACTTCTGTATCTGCATCCTTATAAGTCCTTTAAAATATGTAATGACAATTAAATTACTCTAAAGGATCCTCAACAATTTCTTATCTGGGGCAGGGCTGAATAATCTCTATGCTCATCTACAAAGGGGTAGCTCTCCATACATGGGCACCAGGAGCTTAGGTAAGTCACAGAAGATGGATACACTTATTGCTAAGGGAGTGCCTGAGGAGTCTGGGATACTCTTCCAACCTTATGATGTTATGACTGCTGAAAACAAAAATACTGTCCATCTACAAAATAATAACTTGGTACCGCTAATAGGAACAGAAAGGGAATTAGATAAAGCATACATCAGACCTAGCATTTCATTTCTTTAGTTCATTTAACATTTTCATGTATGACAACATGTTTCATTTATTGTACATACCCAGCTTTTCAAACATCTTTTGAATTGGGACTTCATTGGCATCCACCATAACACGTTTTTCATCTAGCATTAAGACATTCATGGAAAGCCATTTGGATGACATCCAGAGTGGGTGATCTAAAAATAGCAACAACTTTTAAATCATGTCTGCTTTCATTTTTGTTTAAAGCAAAGATTTGAAAGTGAAGAATACTAAAGAGGTAGTTCAATTCTTTCAGCGGTTCACTTTCCCTGCAAAATTTTATTTTAACCTTAAGACAATTAATCTATAAATGTTATGAATATCCTTGGTGACTGAAGTAATCATTTTAGTCTATGAGTATATAAAAGTAAACATACCATCTGGGATGACTGGTATTGGAGGAGTAACTATGGTCCATCCTGCTTTTTTGAAAAGATCAATCTGCAAGACCAAAAACAAAAACAAAAACAAACCCCAAACCCAAGGAGGGTTAAATCTATATATATTATTTTTATCATTCTTGGTCTCCGATAGGCCTTATGATTAATAATTCTTTTTGAGAAGCCGTCTTCTCAACTGTTAATATAAAGAAATTAAAATTTCAAAACATTTCGATGATTTTGTCTAAATCCTAATTTAAAATGTACATAAAATCCCCACATTACCAAATTGAGGTTTAAAAGTAACAGAAATGTTAAAGCTTTTAAAAATATTCTTGTGCTTTTCTCAGGTTTAAGAGATTTTAAAATACCTAAGATACTGTCCTTGATAAATCCTCATTAAATGTGACTGTGTCAAACCCATAGTCCATCCACTTCATAGTCCATGCGTGATAGTATAAAGACAAATGTTTGGGTAGTATTCCCAAAGAACCATAATTGTAACTTAGCCATCCCTATGTTCACATACCCACTTAGTATATCAATGAATTATATTAAAGTAAAATGACTAATCTTCATCACTGGGTATAAATATATGGTATAAAAATGAAGTTATAAGGTAAAATCATGATTTTAAAAAGAAGTACCGCAGCCTAGCAGATAACACAAAATCATTCACCACCCAACTGGAAGTAGGGGGCAGCAGGCTGAAGTGGGAGGCTCAGGTGATGGGGACAGACCAGCTGCAGTGCAGCATCTCTGTTCCTCCCTGCAGGGTAGGGCTGGCCAAGAGAGGCCTGACCCACTGGAGAGGGAAGAAGACACCCACTGCCCATTGGCAGTGCTCCAGACATGTAGGAATCATCCTGTTTGCAATTCAGCTGCTGTGGAACCCGGGTTGCAAGTTATGAGATATAGTAGTCCTCCCACCTGTCTGCGGTTTCGCTTTCCACAGTTTCAGTTACCCATGGTCGACCAAGGTCCAAAAATAATAAATGGAAAATTCTAGGTATTTTGAGAGCGAGAGAGAGACCACATTCACATAACTTTTATTACATTATATTGTTATAGCTGTTCTATTTTGTATTAGTTATTGTTGTGAATCTCTTACTGTGCCTAATTTGTAAATTAAACTTTATTATAGGTATGTATGTACGGGAAAAACACAGTATATCCAGGGCTCTATCCATGTACTATCCATGGTTTTAGGCATTCACAGGGGGTCTTGGAACATATCCCCTCGGGTAAGGGGGAATCACTGTAGTACCACTCTGTTCGATAAAAACACTTCCATAGGCACAAACTTGAGACTCTGGCAGCAGCAAGCAGCCAAAGTCAAAGTCTAATGACATTACACTGTGTATTTCTGAGTGCTGGATATCCTGTATTAAATATAACATAAGCAACCTAATTTTTGATCATAATAATGTTAAACATTGCTGAATTTGTCATTTAGAACCGTTAGGAATCGCAGAAGTGCTTAAAATAAAAATGGCGATTTTTTATTTCAGTTGCTAGACTTACTTTTCCAAAGTCCTTACTTTTCCTTACCTGGTGACATGGTCTGTCAGGATTGGAAAGCACAAGACCAGGTCCAATGATATTGAAGGTGGCATCAATATGCATTGGATTGGGATCTTTAAAGGAGATGATATGCACTCTGTAGTCTGGAGCAAGATGCCTACGCATCCATTCAATGCCTAGGTAGTTTGTAACCTGAAAATAAAAGAAAGACATAAATCTATAAAGATTCAGTTCTATAGTTAGATAACTAAAAATAGTTACAATAAAAATATTTGAATTTAGAAATTAAAAATACAATAAGAAAGTGTGAAATTTCACAGGCAGCCTTTATCCACCTGGCTTCTCTGTGCAAAAATATCTCTTCCAGCTCGAATGAAGTCAGCAGCATCAAAGCATGGCTCGAACTCAGTTGTCACGAATTTTCCCTGAGCAGCCAATTTGTGTCTGTCTGCCACAGAACAAATGGGGTAATCCTAATTGGAACAAGAATAAACACACACAATGCATTGGTTCATGAAGAAATTATTTATAGGACATTCATTACTAAGAAAATTAATTTAACATCATTTTTTTCTCAAAAATACTACTACCCTGTTCTAGACTAAAAAACGCACAGGGCAGATGTAGGCCCATGCCAACCAAACCAAAAAAAATCAACATTTAAGAAAACATTTAAAAACTAAGCATGATAGCAATTTCCTGATACTTAAAAGCAAGCAGTACAGAGGCAGTACTGATTCTGAAAATATTCCATGACCCATGTATTGATTTATGTAGCTACCTATAATACTGAAAGTCAACAGGATGAAGTCATTCTGTATTTAGAAAAGGAACTTGGTCCTGAGCCTAGCTCTTACCATAAAATGAGATCCCATGCTTCCCCTGCCAAATGTGACTGGGTGTGGTGGAATGAATTTATTACTAAGTCTTTAAACTTCTAGAAGAAATTTTGATTTTTTGATTCTTTCTATAAATGATCAAGTAGTGATCTAATAAGGGACACACACTTCCTTTCACTGTGAGTTTGGCCTATAGACCAAACGCTTTCTCTAAAAGAAGAGAATGGAGTTCAGCCTAGTGACTTTTCTGTCTCCAACAATGAATAGGCAAGTTTTTCTCCCTGAAATGGAATGATACTACTCCCTCATGGGGTTGTTGTGACATATAAACAGGATTGAGGATGTAAATAAAGCTCTTAACTCAAGACCTGGCACATGACAAGCATCAAATAAGGGGCAGCTATTATTACTATTACTGTTATTATCACTATATCATTTACTCTTATTTTCATCATAAAATGATCATTTTTAAAAAAGCAGGTGATGCTCTCGGTTTCTGAAATGCATAGCAAATACAAGGTATCTGAGACTCTCTATCTCATTCTCTGTGGATTATGTAGAAAATTTACTAATAAGCTCGCTATACTCAGGAGCTTACCTGGTCATAAAGCTCATCAGCCATTGTGGGCTTAGGAGCCGTAGTCCACTTGGCGCCACGGTGGAAGTAGTCTTTGATAATCGACCGGTATGCGCGGTACTCAAAGAAGCGAGCACGCCATGCCATGGGAGCTTCGATAATCTCATTTCCCACGACTATCAGGATGTCTCGAGGCATCGCACCGTATAAACCTGTCAGACCAAAAAGGCCCACAATCACCTCAGTAATGCTAATTTCAAAGACAGAGAAGTCTATATTTTCTGATTCCATTTTTTCGGTTAAAAAAAATTTACAGAAAATCTCTATGTGTGAATGTATACAATTATATGCAAATAGAAAAACATATGGAGTGATACATATTAGATTGTTAACATGAATTCTGTGTGAGGATGGTGAAGCCAGAGCAAAAAAGAGAGAAATGAAAAGGAAAAAAAATGAAATAATAATTAGTCCTTATTCAAAGAGGTCTTGAGCTGCCAAGTTTTCACCTTTTGTAAGCTCCCTTCTTGCTATACAGAAACAGTTCTTCAGGGAATATCAGTACCACAAGATAAAAATCGGGCCAAGGATGACTTGTAGAACTATAAATTAGAACACTAAATTCAGGCACAGGAACAATCTTGTAACAGTGTCAGTTAAAAATAAAATGGGAATGTTTCTGTTCCTCTCTTAACTTTTATTCTTGAGGAAAATTAAATAGAATCCACTGTTCTTGTGTAAGAAAATTACCATAAAGTTTAGAAAAACTGTTTCTTTCAGGGAGATTCCAGATTTACAATGGAATCTTTAATGTGTACATCTTAATCATATCAAAAAGAACCTAAGTGTTCCTTAATTATCTTTAAAGTTTTGAAGGATTATTAAAACAAAGGAATCTCTGAGAAATTATCAGAATTTTCTCCTTACATATTAAGAAATAAATTAAAAATTAAGATACTAGCAGTTTAGGTATATGACATCACTTACCCGTAGACTCAAAATCCGGAGTTTTATACTTTAACGACCAGTCAATGGGGTCAGGCCTCCTCACTGTCACTCCTTCCATTTTTAAAATATTGCACATTTCTTCAATTTCAGCAACAGCCTTTTTCAAATGGTCTTTGGGAAAATAATGGCCTCCATGCTTTTGGTAAAATGGCCAGTACTTTTCATATGTGTTGGCCTAGAAGTAGAAGAAAGTAAGTGAAATATTTATAGGAGAAAAATACGACTCTATCATGATAGATTCATAAGTGGTGAACTAGGATTTATATAGCCTAACAGAATTGAGACAAAGATCACATCTTGTGAAGTATTGATCCCCAGCACCGAGCACAGTACCTCTCTGGGAAGACACTCAATATCTGTTGAGTGAAGAACTCTAACTTCCCTCAATGTTTTGAGACCTTTTGCGTCTTCTGTCTGAGATCTCATGCCCTCCTACTCACAGCACATCTACCCTCACACAGTCTTGGAATCCTCTTGGGCCAGTTTCTACATGTTTCACAGACAAACCAGGAGATGGTTGCCCTGTTAGAAAGTCTCGATGAAATCAAATAAGAGAACAAACGAAATAGCATAAGAGACTAAAAGCACACTTATACTAAGATAAAACCTAGGGCTATCCATGCATCCCAGAATTCTGTCTGGAAAACTGCAATTCAAGATACAGGAAAATAGAATACTGCCTCCATAAAGGTTAGGGACATACTCTCATATATGCTTTGTTTCTCTTAAAAAAACATTATTGATTTTTCCCATTCGACAGAATTGCCACTTGGCAAAATTGTGCAGCAGTACAAGTCTGCCTGTGGTGCTTCCTACCCTCCCCCTGCCAACCTGTCTCACCTCACCACACCTTTCCTTTCTCCAATCCATCCAAACTCTCATACTGCTTCAGGTCCTTACATAGTAGAAGAAAGTGATCTGATAAACGAATTCACAAATTTTTAGTAACTAAAAAAAAGTTTAACATTTAGAAAGTAACCAAGGTTTACATGTATTTTAAAAGACAACTAAATGGACAACAGCTGAATGCTTTTTAAAAGGCTCAATCGATTTGCTAAATATTACTATAAAATACCGATTTTCAAAAGTATAAAAATCTGGAAGAATTATTCATTGAGATTGTTTTGCATGCAGCTAAGTTCTCGATTTAAAGAAATATATTGGGAAATGGAGGTGATGCATATGAATGTAATTTGTCCAGACAGATGAAGCGGAATGCCAATCAGAAGATTCAAATGCTAAGAAAAAGCTCTGGACTGTCATCAAAAAGTTGGCAAAGTGATGTGCATTTAAGTATTTTACATTAAAAAAAAATGTTTAAAGCAGGTATTTAAGAAATATTTTCTTATAGCATTGCTTAACCAACCACCAGTCCTGATCACCCCATATAAAAAGGTTTCCATCATAAATCAGACAATTTCAGATAGTGGTAAGTGCTATAAAGAAAGGAAAACTAGGTAATGAAATAGAGTATGTCTAAATGTCTAGCTCTTTAATGTCAAAGACAATCTCTTTTCTGGATTTTCTGTTTTTACTTTTATTTTCACCTCAACCTAATAAATATCAAACTTATGGAGGCAGACCTGCTTCTTGTTAGTTCAGTATCAAGGTTCACATCAGTTAGACTGGGGCTGAGACTGCTGGAGAAAGATTAAGAATATGAAAAACCACTCTTTTGCAAACACTAAGAATGCCAGTGAAGCTCTAAAACGGGTTGGCAAGCTAAAGTCCACGGGCTAAATAAATCTAGCCCGCTCCTGTTTTTGTAAATAAAGTTTTATGGGAACACAGATATACTCATTCATTTACATATTGTCCATGGTTGCTTTTGTACTACAATGGCAGAGTTGAGTAGTTTCAACAGAGACTTGTAATCTGCAAAGTCTGAAATATTTATTATCTGGTCCTATACACCCCCCCTCCCCCGTTTAAATTATTAGTTAGCTGCTTTACTTCTGAAGATCTATATGCAAACAACAGGCTCAATTTCTGGCCCATGAAAAATGTTATCGGTATTAAAAATGTGAGTAGTTTTTAAGATCAATCCACTCTTTTAAATACAAAACAAAACAAAAGCACTCCACTGTTTTCTACGCCTAGGAAGTCCTGCAGCAGCAGCCAGAAGGAGAGGATAAAAATGACTCTTTATATTCCTCTCAGACACATCCTGATACTACATCCATTCACCACTTCCTCCTTCTCATGCCAGGCACATCTCTTACAGTCCACTGAGGGACAAGAAGTCTTTGAAAATTTAACAATGGGTTACAGCAGATGCACAGCCATGTTGTCTGGCCAGGCACAATCCAAAGTACCCTGTGTGATTATTTGTGCAGAGTGACGCTTGCCTTGGTAAATATAAACTTCCCTGGGAGAAAAAAGTTGTTTGAACAAGTTTGAGTTTCCTTGTATAGCTCTTACTCTAAGTCTATACAAAGTCCAAATCATCATGGCACATTGTATTTTCTAAGAGATAGTTGGAAGCTATTTACACTTTCTTTATAACCCTGCTAAGTGAGTTAGCAATCATTTACCAAGTGTCTGCAAGATAAACAAACACTATATTAAATGCTTAGCATATAATATTAATAATGTTGCAGAGATGTGGCTGCATTCTAGAAACTTTGTTGTCTTTCAGAGCCTAAAATCTTTCAGGGGGTTTGCCAAATGGATTTCAAATACTGTCTTTGGAAGGCTAGGAAATCTCAATATAAGGTTCTTATTTATAGCTGCATACATATTATACTAACTTTGATTGATTTTGTATTTTATAAAAGGTCCTTTATCAGTGATTTATAAAACAGGGCAAGAGCAAAAGAAAAAGCACATATTTAATGGGAAGTATTTACTGTTTTGAAGAATAAAAAGCCATTTAGCATTTAAAAATTATGCTTCCTGACAACTATGTTCCTCGTTCCCATAAAATTTCTCTAGCACTTACATCTTCCAACATATTTTATGCTCTAATTGCATATAAACAGTTTATGATATTGTTTTATCTTTCATTGTTCCCTAAACTGATTAATACATCTGTGTCATTACCCTCCAACTAGAAGGCCTTGCCTTCTAGGAACCATACATGTCTTAGACTTACTTTCCTTTCCATCAATACCTAGATTAAGCATGTGACATAAAGCAGAAGTAACCAGACAAATGAATGATATCAATACTGCTAATGTTACTTATAACTACAACCATTACACCCTCAATGTACTTTTGTAATGTAATTAGCAAACTGGGTCTATATAACTATAATGAGCTATGGTTTTGTCTTTTAAGATACTTAACATGTAACCTTTTACCTTCATATTTATCTCATTAGATAGATAGCAAACTTCTTAACATCTTCATTTTACTAAGGCCCAGAAATTTCTGGAATCTTGCACAAGGTCAAACAGCTAATTAACCGAGACTAACTATCAAGCTTTATGAAATATTTAATTCAATCCTGGTCTCCTGACTTCAGCCTGGTACACTTCCCACAAGCCCATGAAATTACAAAGTCTAAAGTTATATATAAATCAAGTGACAAAAAAAACCTCAAAATGTCTGAGAATTCTGATTCTATAAGATCACATGGTATAAAAGTCAGTAATTTTAAAGACAAGAAGAAGGATTAACTAATGCCTTAATTTTAAATTTAATTTCACCCAATTATAATGGTTAGCGGATGGGACATCTTTCCAAGAAAAGACTTTAAAAAGATCATGCCTTTTAAAATATGTGGATGATATATAAATTAATCTGTTCATCAAATTTCAAATATCAGAACCAAAGGTAGTTTAGAACAATTAGAAGTTATTACTTTTTCTATTACTCTATCTTCAAGGTCCTACTCAAGGATCATTTTCTTGGATAAGACTGCCTAATTGTTCAGCAATTGGTCATTGTTTTTTCCTTAGCTCTCCTGGCACTTCATTTCAACTGCCTTGGTAGTTGGTTGGCATAAGATACTTAGTATTAGTCTTCGTTTCTACGTGAACATCTTTTCTCTCCAAATGCTAAGTCATTTTGTGCTAATACCTCTGGAGCCCTGCTATAAGGTAGGCAACATTTTTTATGATGATGACAATGATATAACAGAACTTATTTCCTCAATCCACATTACAAATACAAATGTAAATATTCAGGAAGAATATAAGGACATTGAAAATATATTTGTAACACACCATTAATGGAAGCTTAGACTGTGTCTACAGTGTTGATGGCAGTCCCTTAGATACGGGACCCTTATGCAATATGCAACCTGAACATCAACCCATGGAGGCCCTGGCCACAGCCATTATAGATGAAGAAATACTAGGAATTTTTTAAAAGGGAGATATTACTTGTTACAGGGAAATCCTGTAAGACTTTGTGGAAGGTGCTATTGGAGCTAGGTGGTAATAAGAGAGGTGCAGGAAGTTGGGTGGGAGACCTAGGTAGGAGCAAAGGCATGAGGTTTGTTTGAGGAACAGTTTGGCTGCTTATATGGTTATCTTAAAAAGTCTGCTTAAAACCAAAGTGGAATATCAGAGGTGAGAAAGACCCAAACAGGAATGAACCTGCTAACCTGTCACATTAACACATGTCTAAATGAGTACGTGAGTGAAATGGGAAGGCAGACCAGAGCCAGATTGTGAAGGATCTTGAATACAATGAGGACTTTATCCTAAGCAGTGTGTATGTTGGGGGAAGGGCGGAAAATAGAGACGTGATAACATCAGGATGAGTAACATCATTGAATTTTGGTTTAAAAAAAAAATCACTGATCAAAGCTGGAAGGTGGTTTGGAGAGAAGAGCAAATTAAGGAGACCAGTGAGGTGTTAACTGCAATAGTCCAGGCAGTAGATGACATCCTGACCTAAGGCAGCCGCGGAAGCAGGGAGGCAAGGTTCATTTTGACAAAAGGCTTGTTAGATCTTGGTGAATGGACACGGAGGTGACGGAAATAGAATCAAAGATGGTTCTTTGGTGTTTCAGCTTGAGTAAATAGGAATGCCAAAAACTAAAAGGAAGAAACGAAGAAGGGTCCAGTTCAGCAGAGTGACTAACGACTGAATTCAAGATGTGTCAAGTTTTAATCCTGTTGCAATATGTGATAAGGAGTTGATCTGGACATAGTTCAGGAGAGAAATCTGAACCTGAGTGGAAGTGGGAGCTGAAACTTTGAGACAGAAAAAGAGTCTCGCAGAATCTGGAGGGAGTCATCATTTGTGTAGTGTCAAATACTGCAGAGATGCCAAGTAAGGTAACTTAAAATCAAGCACTAGATTTGGGGATTCTGGAGTAAGCTAAACTGAGGATGAGGGTGAGAGCAGAAGCCAGACTGCAGAAGGTGAGGAGCGAACCCACTTCAGACACGAGAACACTCTTGCTTTACCTTCACCTCCACGGTGAATGGTGGAACACAGGCGTTTTCTGCTCTGCCCACTATCACTTCCTCTAAGGGATCCCATTCGTTGTAAGAGGAGACCGGGCAGTCCTTGGGCAGAGGATCAGTGGCCTTGTCATCAGCTGCACAGGAATTCTGGGAGGAAGCCGTAGCTGCCTGGGTGCTCTGGAAAGTTCGCTGCACCCATCCTGTTAAGGTTCTTCCAAGCTTCCAAAAACAAAGAAAAGATTATTGTGTAGTCCTATATAGTACCTGCGGGGAGGGGTAAGTAGCGGTGGGATGAAAACTCAAGACAACATAATGGGACATTTAAAATCCGTTTGGAGTGTATAAACCAAGTTGTTAGTTTATAGGTAAGTAGTTGGGTTACAGGTAAGTTTTACCTTTCTTTTTACTTACACATTATCTTCTTATATGTTATGTTAATTGGCATTAACTCTTCAAAACCCCTCAGAAGATTTTTGTCCCCAGTGATCACACACTTATATCTCAGAATAGTTTTCTGCAATCAAGCTTTAGTCAAACTTTAACCATCTTGTCTGCAGATGATGGGTCACCTTCTTCCCAGAAAACTACAGAAAGCTGCTCCATGTCTCCCTGCCAAGACTAGCTGGGGGAGGGAGCCTCCTTTACCCTTCAATATCAAAGGTACGAACGTTAGACTCCCACGCCCCGCCGGCACTCCAGGTAAAAATATGTAAAGGTCCTTATCTTTCAGAATAATCAGCTTCAAATCAAAAATCTTTCATCGCTGACACGCTTCATATTCTTTGGTACTACATTCTGAGAATGATCAAATGCCATTTGCTCCATTTTACAGATGGCCCACAGTCCCCTAGCCAAGACAAGGATTAACCTGAGCACAAATTTAAACAACTAGAAAGGAGATCTAAGAACTTCAAAAAAGCCTTTAGAAAATGCAGGTCCTATAAAAATCTAGAGCAGGGAGAGTTCCTCACCCACCGGGCAAAACGCGAGTCCCCAAATCTCTATCCTACTCTGTTAAAAGCCTTAGAGAGAGGCAGGAGGGGAAGCCAGAGTGGGGACCAAAGCAAGGAGAGTGACAGCTGTTCTGAATCCAGTTGCTTGGGGGAGCCAAACTGCCCTGCTATTTCTGTTTTAGGAGCTAGGAAGGGTCTGCAGGCACGCGCTCAGCTCATGAACCAGGGAAGCGGAGGGCGGGGACCAGGCAGAAACTCTGGGTACAGAGCAAACTCGCTCCAACTCCTCTCGCAACACAGGATTCCATGTTACACTTGGGGTGGGCCTGCTCGCTCCCTCTCCATCCCCAGTTCATACTTTGCTTCTTTCTTCTCCCGTCCATCCACGCCATACTCATGCCCAACTTCATACCTACCCAAAGCAATGAACCCCAATAACACCATGCTTTTACTAAGAGGTGTTACTT